TAATGCATTGCATTGGAAAAATGGTTGTTTACCAACATTATTAATGACTGGTTTATGTGTCTTCATATCCATTAGGAATAAAGGGTGCAGTTGGATAAATTGACCATGGTTGCTAAGTTGAACAATCCACAACTTGTATTTAAATTCAATTGACACAGTTGAATTAAGTTGAACAATCCACAACTTGTATTTAAATTCAATTGACTCATGTTCAACTGTGTTTATACTCGTTCGAGTGACTATCAAAAGATAAACTTTCAAATAATTTTAAAAACACGTCCTTATGGATTTTAGATATATATATAAAATCAAATGGATTTTATTTTCAATAAACTAGCCAATTGAAAAAAAAAAGTAAAATCAAATTAATTTGATTAAATAATAAAAACAGTAAACAATATGATATGTAGATGTAGATTAAATACATATTTATATATTGAGTTTTTTTCATAAATAGATTAAATTATTTTCATGTAAAACTGTAAAAATAAAACCAGCCCGCAACACTTCACTTCCCTCAAACCCAAAAGGCCAAAACCCCAATCCAACACTCAAATGCTTCAACCACCAAACCCCAAATCATAAACACCACCATGCCGTCCTCCGGCACACTGTTTCTTCTAACACTGGTGGCGCTGATCACCACCGCCACCATCGCCACCACCACCACCACTCCAATCATCGGCTTAGACTCATACCTAACATCCCAATCACGAACCGATCCACAAGCCACAACCGACTCCTTCCAATCTCTCTCAACCTCAATCAAAAAATCTCTCTCCCATCTCCCCTCTCTCTCCCTCTCCCTCTCCCCAATCCCAGTCTCCCTCACAATTCACCTCATCGGCGATTTTCCCCCAAACACTCACTCTCTCCTCTCCACCTTTCTCTCTCCTCCCCCTTCCCCCTTCCACGTCATCACCCCTTCCTCTCCCCTCTCCCAATCCTCCCAATCCCACACCCTCTCTCTCCACCACACTCTCCACCTCCACGTCACCACTTCCCAAACCCAAACCCTCTCCCAAACCATTTCCCAAACCTTAACCACCCTCTTCCAAACCACACCAACTCCACTCCGAACCTCACTCCTCCCCTTCCCTCATTCCTCCGTCGATAAAATCATTTCACAACACTTCCATTCCATTTCTCCCAAACCTGAAGGCTTTCATCTCTACCTAATTAACCTCCCCAAACCTAAAATCGATCCTGTCTCAAACTCCGCTAAACCCTACGCATACACCTACACCTCCACCGCATCTGATAATTCCTCTCCTGGTTTCACCAACTGCCTCGGAACCTTCTGGACTTCTTCCGAGCGTTATTTCTGGGTCGATCTCTCTGCCGGTCATGTCGATTACGGTCCCGCGGTCTCCGGCGACGGACTTATTCCGAAAGGTGAGTTTCATCCGTTTGCGACGCTCCACGGTGGACCGAAGTCGCAACGAGCTTTGGCGGCTGATCTTGCTTCCCTTGTTTGGAGTGCTTATCAGGTTTTTCTTGCTCCTAGTTTGAGAATTCCTGTTCATTATGAGAATAAGCTTGTTGTTCAATTTATCCATGTTTATTCTGGTGAGGAGAAGGATGTGAAGGGATTGGATTGGAAATTGATTGAGAAAAGTTTTAGAGATGAGAGTAATGGTAAGATTTTGTTAGGCGATCAGAGTTTGAGTTTTAAGGTTTTTGATGTTAAGTATGATGAGTGTCCACTTTGTTCGTTTGCGGTTTCTAGGTCGACGAATTCGTATACTTCGAGGTTTTTGTTTGATAATTATACTTTGATTGTGAGTGAGTATTTGGATTCTAAGAGGTTGCATCAGATTTTGTCTGATTCTGCTGGTGAGATGAGGAAAATTGGTGCGATACCTGAGGAGGAGGATTTCGGTAGGGTTATTCCGGTGTATGTTTTTGACTTGGATTATCATCCGTTGTTGATGTTGGATCGGTATCATCAGAGTGTTGCTTTTAAGGATATGGTGATTGCGGTTAGGACTAGGAATACGCAGACGGTGAGTGATTATAGCTGTAACGGAAGGCATGTGTTTGTGCATACGAGGGAACTTGAGAGGCCTATTGTTGGATCGGTTCTGCAGAGTATGTGGGGGGTTTCACCGACGCATTTATCTTGGAGTCCTTTGCATAATAGTACTTTGGTGGATTATACTTGGAGTATGGGGCAGACTCCGTTTGGGCCGTTCTCGGAGTTGTTGTCGTTGTCTTTTGTGCAAAAGGATGCTGCAAGGAGAAATATTCTATTGACAACATTGAATTACAGTATATCGAGTGCTTTTGATGTTCTGCAGTCATTAGAAACGCATGGCGGGGACAGGAATATGCTCAAGCAGAAGCAGCATGATGAGTTTGTTCAGAGATGGAACCTTTTCAAGTACAAGCTTAACAAGGCGGTGTCTGCAATGTCGCATCTGGATTATGAGATGGCTCTGTTTTACTTGAAGTCTTCTGATCATGATCTTTATGCCATTCATTCCATCGTGTACCATGCCTCGCAAGAAATTGAGGCATCACTCACATGCTTTAAGGATCCCCCCTTTCCCTGGGTCTCAGTCTCAACTTCTGTTGCGGCCTTCGTTGCTCTCTCTTATGTTTATGCAAAACGGCATAAAATTTTCAGAAATAAAAGTAAGCAATTTTGATGCTCTCACAACAGGACAGATGTTTGTATGATTTTAAGAAAGCACAACGTGTATCATTATACAAGAGGTATGCTGATATGCTTGATATTTAAATTGCTCGAATGATCAACTCCTCCTGCTCAACATGCTGTTTTCCTACTATGGTTGTTCTTTGTAATCAGTTTTTTTAGGGATTTATCACCTTTTCAGTATGATGACTTAAGTTTATCATTTCTATGTGGCATGAGAATTATTAGCAGAACACAAGTAGATTGGAATTCGTAGCTTTAAATCTGTAAACACATAAGAGAAATAGAAAGAAAATGATAGACAATTGATCTTAAAACAGTCCAAAACAGCTGAAATTCTGGTTTGCCACCAGGTACAATGATGAGAAGCTTTTGTCATCAACAAAATATGAATTCTAGTTTCACTAAATCCTTTAGTCATAATATAAGTCAAATTCTAAGCAACCCAAACCAGTGCACACTCTGCCTATATTGTCAATTTATCTTATTGTAGTTGTCTATGAAAGAAAGCTACTAACAGAGTATAAATTAAAACCAAAACTGTCGCAGACTCGCAGTGGCTGGTATCATCTATGCTTTTGATTTTCAAACATTTCAAAGTTCATTAATTTTGCATAAGCAACAAAGACATGTGTAGCAACTCTGATGCTTTAACAAAAGACAACATTGTCTTGCAGCTTAGAAATAACTATATTTGCGGTCTAGTGATCAATTACCAGATTTTTGCACCTCCTAGTTTTGAGGTTGAAGTTCAATTCAAATTGAGTAATATAATTCTGTTTTGCCAGTCCAAAAATCATGAGCGGTCGAACTCATTGCTTCAGCATTTTCATGTCGAAGGCTTGCTTTTGTACCTCTAAGTGTAATGTGTTAGGAATATGTACTACTACTACTAGGTTTATGTGCAATAGGTGAAAACATACATACAGTTTCTTTCTTCTGGTCTCCTATTTTGGTATGAAAAGTCTTTTTTGTATGATTGCATCTGTTAACACTTAACATGTCAACCTGGATACCAGGCATGACATAATTTGTTCTCCCTGGTATTGAAAATACAAAAGTTGATCTTCATTTAATCCTGTTGTTTTTTAATTATCAGTGGAAACATTGAAGACTGTTCAATAGTTCATTAAAAACAACTTATTTTTTATATTGTGGGTGAAAAATATAATTAATCCTCTCCATTACACTTCAGAATGGGAACTGGTAATACAAAATTAGGAATTCATAAAATTACTGAGGTTAACCTTTTGTAGTTCAACCTGCAAAATTAGGAGTTCTTAAAATTATATGAGGTTAACTAGAGATATATGGGGTGTTGTAACCCCCCACCCCCACCCCCCCAATATCTCTGCGTGCTTTGCTCATTGCACAATACACACCCTTTTGCTTTAACGAGATTCCTTGTCAACTAGAGATATATGGCAAAAGTAGTCATTATTATATCACTTGGCCACTCCTTGCCTGCTAGCTTTTGGGATAGGGTTCCTCTCCATTTCTCAAATGAAGTGGACATCTCCGTTACTATGTTTTTGGTGTATAAATGTATAATTAATGTTACAAGTTTTGGAAATGTGTCTTTGTTTTCTTTATAAACCTACAAAGTTTAGTAATGGACATCTCCATTTCTCAACGGGGGGGATCCTTACTCTAGCTTTTGGAGTTGAGCTAGACATAAAGTCCAAAATGTAAGACGACTTCCTAGCTCAATGGAGACGACTTCCATGTTTTAGATGTCTAGTCCGCGGTGTGATCACATCCATCATCAACTAGAGATGCACCCAAAGTAGTCTTTATAAGGTTTGAGCAATCTTGACCTCTTAAGCTAGCTTTTGGGGTAGAGGCAGGCCTAAACCCATACATCCAAAGTCTTAAAATAGAAACACTACAGGAATGAATTTCAAATCAAAATAGAAACTTTACTATATATTACTGGTTGATTGCAAATATGTCATGGTCATACATGATTTATTAGCACTAAAACATGTGGTAAAATCGAAGTGTTTAGTTTTAGATTAGCTATGGGTGCCTTTTTGTCTTTCTAGATCTTGTTAACTATGGTTGGCATATATATATTTTGGGGTTGTCAAACATATTATTTTAAGTAAATGGATTTGTATTTTCAAGTCCAAAACTGAAAGTCATGGGATTTTTGCATACAAGTAATTCAAAGTTACAAAGGAGGAATTCAAAGTTATTGTTCTACATGTTTCCTTCAGTTATGATGCTGTGAATTCTCTAGCACTTGTTCACCTTGGCTTTGAAGGACGACGTTTCCCTTAAAAACTCTAGCCATTTCAAATTATCAAATTTATGTTTCGTTAATGCATTTCTAAGTTGTCTATTGGGGTTTTAGAAACGGAATATCCCCGATTCCACCACAGAAGATCCCATCCAACTCATCATCATCGTCACTTGCCGTCTTTGGCTGTCGGTCACTTGTGTCTTCTCCATCAGTTTCATCTCCAGTCATGTTTGAATTATTTTTCACTAATTCTCTAAATACTGTAGAGCGGAAAAGTAGCCCAAGTGCAGTGGGAGAAGAACACGACTTAGTGCGGGACATTTGGTATTTTTTATTGTCAAAAACTTCATACTTTTGAGAGGAATTCAGATTATTTGAGTTATAAGTACTGCTGTCGATGGCCAAAGATTTCGATCCATCAATTGGAAAACAATGAGATTGGGATGCGACTGTCTGAGACTCTGGTACTTCCAGCTTTTTGAGTTTTGTTTCTGAGATATTTCCTTCTGAAGATTTTAACCATTTCATATAAGTACTCAAGTCGAAGTTGGTAATAGCATGACTCCCTCTGTACTCAATGGCTGCTATGTCATAAGCACGAGCAGCTTCCTCTTGGGTACCTACGATGTGGAAGGTACATAGATTTGGTTAACTTGATGCTCTAAGAAGTTAATGAAATGACTGGAGCATATCCATAATCTATGTTTGTACATGTTTGCATTATCTGTAGCCCTGTGATGGGCTATGGAGATTCAACTTACTGTAGGTGCCAAGGTAGAGATACTTGTTTCCAAAAACCCTTCCGATCCGTGCTTCCCATCTACCATTGTGGTGGTGCCTGCAATTTACCAACTATTTAGTAATTATTTTCATCTACAACAACTCAGAATACCTATACATCCAGTCATAATCTGTAGCACCTTGCAACACCCCTATACTTTGATGCCCCTCTTGAAAAACCGCTGCTCTTTCTGTAAAATAGAAAATGAGTCACATAAGGGTGAAGAAGCTGTGATAATGCTCCTAAACTGATATTAGGGACGCCACTGTGATGTAAACACTACTATTTGGGTTAAAGCTTTCAAAGTCTATGAATCACATACATTGACACGACACTCACATTTAAACTGATAATAAATTGTGAAAGTTTGAAATAATTGCATGTAATCACATGTATTTGTTGTCGGATACCAGACACGACTTCAATATGAAGCGTCAGAGTTACATAGTTCAGATGTACTTTCCTGGAAAGGATTGAAAGTCCCAGCACCATTGGGAACAAAGACATGATTAAAGTCTCTACTCTTACCTTCTTAGTGTGGCCAAGTACTCCTCTTTTGTCATAGTTTGCATTATTTCTACTTGTTCTTCATACTCTGCAACCTGTTAGAAGTATAAAGAACATGAATAATGTGCATATAAGCATCAAGTAAAAGATGTGTGGCATAATATTTAGGTAAATAAATATCATCATACAGGAAAATTGGTGACAGTCAATGTTCCCCAGTACTTTAGTGCAGCTAAATCATATGCTCTGGCTGCTGATATTTCGTCGTCGTAAGCCCCTGCGATATTTGGAAGATAGTTTATCTTTGTCTAAGTAATTAACAGTGACAGAACAAACCTTATAATGAAGGTACTTACCAAGATAAACTGTTGGTTACAGTATCCAATTCCAGTAAACATTCCAAAGGCAAAATTTGAACATGAAAACACACTTCTATGTTAGTAGCTGTATAGCGTAGCAAAATTTGAAAAAATTATGGTTGTTCTATGATACACCAATTTTTTCAAAGTATTTATTTATTAATGCTATTAACAACTCTAATGAAAAGTAACCCCCCACCTTGCTTCCCTTTCTTTTTTTGGGTTATGTTCCAAGAAAGCTTGTCCCATAAGTGAGCTTCATATCTACCTGTCCATCTATGTCTGTTTATATTCAACTTGGATTAGTAAATGAAAAAGAAGAGTTTATGATGCTTGACATAAACTTTTTAGAACTATAGAGCAAGAAAGTTCATTCTTTACAACCTGCTGACACCCCGAAATCTTGAACTTCTCTTTGTCGTGCTGGTAGTAGAATTTTGACAAACTTGTTGCTTCTGACCTTGGTTTTCCTCAGAAGGGAGCACAGGCTCTCTTCGCCGTCTTTTGGCAACTACTTGGAAATCATTATCTGCCATGGACATGCTCATTCTCTTGTTCTCTTCATTCTTTATCATCATATCCATTTTTCTAATGACTTGTTTCTACCTCAATGGTAAAACTTTGTTCCTTGTTAATTTCTCTTGACTTGTTGCTTGTGTAGGTATGTATGTATTCTTAAGCATCCATACTTGTTTTGGACTTGTTATGTTTTTGTTTTTTTGTTACACTGAGCATTGAAGTTAAAAACAAGGGGACGATGATTACGGTGAAATTCAAAGACAAATTAATGTTGTTCTGTTTGCTAGACTAAAGTCCAAGTGGGGTTTGTTTGGCTTGTATCAAGTTTTAATTCTAAAAAGTAATGAAGAAAGGTTTAATATGTTTATTATTTTCAGTATTCACATCAATGAACTTTATAATTCACGATGTGACTCAATTAAAGGCTGATTGGAAAAAAGTCATTTTGTTAACTTATGCTTCTGTTTAATGAAATTTCTATTAATTAAAATGATATTAATTGTTATTTTATAAATATTTTTGAGAATTTTAATTCTATTATTTGAGATTATATAGATGAACTTCGATTTACATTAAAATTAATATTATCGTGTATAATATAATATCTAAGCGTGTATATATTAGATTCTTGGTAACCCTATAAGGTAGTTTATTCAGTGCCACAACAAATATAAAAAAATCGAAGTTATTCTATTAGCATAACTCTAATATAATTGGACATTGTGAGTTGAAAAAAAAAATTAAAATGAAGCATAAGTACATACATTTGCACACAAGAGAATGGAGATTATGTATCAAATTAATTATGGTGTTTCAACTAAGTATCGATTCTTTCTCTCAACAACTTCATTTAGTTAAGGAGTAGGAATACATGATGCCTGATGGAGAGATTTATCGCCTAAAAGCTTGTCTCTAGCGAAAGCATACACACAAATTTTTGGCCTTGACTATAGAGACACCTTTTCTCCGAATGCTAGAATTGCATATGTTTGCCCTTTTTTTTTTTTTTTTTTGCCTTAGTCACTATTCATCAATGGTCGCTATATCAATTAGACATAAAAAATGTCTTTCTACATGGTAATTTATTGGAGGAGATGTATCTGATACACCCATCAAAATTTAATGTTAGTGGTGCTTGTCACCTTGTTCGTCGACTTCGTCAATTTCTTAATTGATTGAAACAATCTCCCTGGACTTGGTTTGACACATTTAGCATTATGCTCAAACAGTATGACATGAGTAGATGTGAAGATGATTACTGTCTTCTTTTTGCATTCTTCACCAACCACATGCACCTACCTATTGATCTATGCATCATCATCACTGGTAATGATAAGGATGACATTCATCGATGGAAAGAATATTTGTCTTTCCATTTTCAAACTAAAGATTTGGGGTCACAAAAATATTATTTTGGGGATTGAAGTTGCTCAATTCAAAATTGGTGTGACCATTACTCAATGGAAATGTGGTCTTGATATATTTGAGAAAACTAACTTGCTTGATTGTCGGTCTACTATGAATCTTAACGTTAAACTACTATTAGGTTAGGGAAATCCACTGAAAGACTTTAGTAGATATCGCCACTATTTGGAAAATTTAATTACCTCATAGCGATTAGACCAAATATTACCTTTGTTGTTAGTTTGGTTAATCAATTTTTAGATGCTCCATGTGATTGACCATTGGAACAAAGCTATTTACATTCTTAAATATATACAAGTACGTAGGCTAAAGGGAAACACCCAAGTCATGGGTCATTGTGATGCTGATTGGGTAAGCTTACCATCAAATAGAAGGTTTACTTCAGGGTATTGTATTTTCATTGGAGAAAATTTAATCTCAGGTGGAGCAAGAAACATAACATAGTTACAAAGTCTAGTGCAGAAATAGAATATCGTGCTATGGTAGTAGTAACATGTGAATTCCTGTGGGTTTTTGATGTCAATCTTGTTTTAAATTAATCATTTATAACTGGCATTTTTCAACTCTTTTGTGTTGACTTATTGAAATTACTACTTGAAAGTTTGTCATTCTTCAATTGTTTGAAAATATCTTTGGTATCTTTGATTTGTGTGTTATTGTGCAAAAAGTAGGCATTAAATCATCAAAGTGTGAGACACAAGAAAATTGAACAAGGTTGCCAAAGGAAGAGAAGAATATCAATAAGTTCGCTGGGCAAACTTGCTAGTGAATGTTTGCTTTGCGAACAACTGGCGAAGAACCGACGAATGCTTTTAGACTTGAGGCAGTAGAAAAAGGCCTGTAAGTTCGCTAGACGAACAAGCCAGCGAAGGTTCGCTGTGGCAACGGATCAGCGAAGAGCTAGCGAAGCATCCCAGACTTGAGGCAGTAGCTAAAGGGTCATAAGTTTGTTTTGCAAACTTGTATGCAAAGTAGTTCGCTAGGCGAATAATCATTCGCACGACGAACTTCAGAGTTATCTCAGAGGCGACTTAACTTTGCAGAGGCACATCAGGTGTCTAATTTGATGTTCGCTAGGCGAATAATCTGTTCGCAGTGCGAACATGACAGATCCTGATTGTATTATATAAGTACTTTTGATCATTTTTGGGGATCATAACCTACTTTTACACACCAAAATCTTATTTTCTGATATTTCTTCACCAAAGAGTGAAATTTTGCACATAGAAGTTGGATTTGCATCCGAGATCGATTCTTCGACGTGGATGCTCATTCATCTCCTCTCGAAACTTGTGAAGCAAGCTATCATGGATATGGGTAGCTAAGTCACTTTTGTGTCAAGATTAGTGATAAATAATCATAACTTTTGTATGTATTTCTCTTGATATTTTATGTGTGAACAAGTCGATGATGAATATATGGTGAAAAACCTTATTTTTATGTAATATTTGTGTTGGATCATTATTGAGAGATATGTTTCAACTATTGACCTACCTTTTTCATCTTTCAATAAACAAAGTCTAAAGATAGTTTCGTGAGTTAATATTCACTAATATCAATCCTTTAATGTTATCATATTGATAGTTAAGTTGAGAGATCATCTAAGGATCAATATGATAAAACTCACAATTTGTTTTAGAGATGAAACATCTTGAGAGGATATGTGATTATATTTATTATTAATGAGTTCACATGCTTTGTTAAGAAAATACGTATGAAATTGATTATCGAGCCCTAATCTTGACATGTTTTTGTCAATCAATTTAAAACTGAAACTTTTACCGTTGATTATAACTTTTTATGCGATCGTTGCGTTACAAAACCAAATCAAATACCTTTTATGTTCTATGTTTAAAACAATTCTAACTGTAGAACGGCGGTAATATCACACAATCCCTGTGGATACGATAACAGAAACCCACACTAATACTGTTTCAACAGCGGGTAAAACAATTACTCCAACATCTCAAATTAGAAGATGCGAAGATAATGAAACTGATTTGTGACAACTAAGTTTTACTTCATATCACCTCCAATCCAAATTTTCATGAAAGAACTTGGTACATAGAGATTGATTGCCACTTTGTAAGAGATAAGGTTCTTTTAGAAAAAAACATAACTTATTTTATTGGTTGAAATATTCACTCACTCTCATAGAGGACCTCGGGTTTAATTTATTTGTAACATGTTTGATGCATGTGACATGTATGCTTCGGGTTGAGAAAGAGTGTGAGAATTAATTATGAGAGTAGAAATCTAGAGTGATTGTTAGTATTTCTAAATTAAATAATTTTTCATGCTACTGCTTATTCATTAAGCTTCAATGTATTTTTTATAACACTATTATAAATATATGTAGTGTCATCTCACTTAAAGACTTACATAATTCTATAACCATTAAATCGATTACAAATATTGAATATTACATGTTATTTATCACATCAGTGAAAATCGACGCTGTTACTAACATTTAAATTACAATAACAAACACGATACATTTTAAAAAATTGAGAGACCAAAATGATTTTTTAAAATTATAAGAGCAAAATAAACCCATGTGAGCAAGATGAACTTAAATATAAACTATAAGAGTTACAATATGCTTGACATCAACAATGACAACAACAAAAAATGCTAAAAAAATAAATAAATAAGGAGTTTCTATATTCTGATTTGACTATGCACTATATATAATATGCTTGAGGAGAATAATAAATTTCAAAGTTGGTTAAGCCAAAACAGATTGTTACCATCAAATAAAAAAAATAAATTGTTGGACTTAGCCCCTCTCTTAAAAATAATAAAAATTGTTACTATTTGACTCGCCGCAAACAGTTACATAGCCACATTGTTTTTTACAATTTGTTCCTAAACCTTAAGAGAGTGTGTTGTATCTTTAAACAAACAAAAATAACAACGAGTTGTTTAAAAAGTCTAACATTTAAAAATAAATAAAGTATATACACACTACTACGATTATAATTTATTGGATTTATCGCTGCTGAATATGACCTTGCAGGCAGAAGTATATTGCTTCGCCACATGTATCTCAAATGGATGAGATTTTCTATTAGACATTTGGGAATTTGTCATCTCTTTTTCCTTATGGAAAGCTATAGACCTATTTTCATTAAGTTTAATCCAAACTTATTGTAAACGGTTAATATTTGAGATTAGAGTTTTATCCTATTTTTTAATATGAATGATCATATGATCATTTTCTTTTCATACAAAATAAACATTGTTGTTACAAGTTTTTGTAAGAAAATAAATATTTCTTCCTAACACAACTATATTCAAATATTCAAGAACAAGGAGTAATTTAAATTTTTATTTATACGTGAGATATTAGATTAAACTCTAGTATGTTTGAAGGGTAGTTTCTGGTTCAACAGAAATTAAGCATGAGGTCGAAGTCTATTCGCATGTTTCTGTCGGAATAATGCGTGTTGTAGTCGAAGTTTGTTCTAAAATGCATTAGTCAATATTGTTAGGTTTATTAGCATGTTGAATTGGGTCTTGCTTGTAAGTCCAATTGTTTAAGTAAACTTGTACCTTAAGTTAGCTTGTAATGGATAATTGTTGAAAAAACCCATTAGATTAGTGTGCTAATTTTCTTATAAATAGCATGTTAGTCTCT